TTGCTTGGTAATAACGAAAACAAACACATATATGTATATATATATATTCGTAGCCAAAAACGCCACTGCGACTGTGCTGCTCTCCTTCCAGACTTGTCAAAAGCTGTTCAGATGTTGGTTTTCTATTGGATAGGATCGCCCGTGACCTGTTTTAATGTCATAATTTGATTATATAAAGGCTTGCGCTATTGCTGCAAACATAGTGCTCCTTTAAAGAACAATGTAGTTTATTGCTTTATTGAATTGATCCTGATTGAACCGCGCCGCCAGCTCTTGCTGTCAATGCTCTTGCCGCAATGGAGGCTAATGTTTCTGAGAGCTGTGGTCCATGGTCGTCTTTTCCTTGAGCAAATATTTGTGGCGCTTTCCGGCATCTCTGCCATTTCGGCCTTTCTTGGTTGATAAATTGTAGCAGTTGACTTCATCAAACAAGCTGTTGACTTCCCCCGCATCAGCCTTTGCTTTTCTTATTGGTCTTTGTGTGAAGACTTGTGAAGACGTGAACAGTACAGAGTCAGAGTATACAATGTTATATATATATGCGTAAACTGTGGGACACAAACCGCCTGGGACTGTCCACTACGAGCGATGGGGATCATTCGGCTTTGGTAGCCGGATGTACAGTCTCTAGTTCTTTTTGCAGTGATTTGTGCTAGAGTATGCAAAAGTTATATTTAGACTTTCCTCTGCTTGTTCGGAAATACATCAGTGTTTGATTGCAACAAGCTTATCTCTGCCTTCAAGGCCCTTGAGCCCCTTTTGAATTCTCGAAAGGTACCTTGCTATTAGCAAGAAGCCTGCAGTGCCCAGAAACACCTCCGTTTGCGTTGGGGCCACGGAAATGACATGTTTGTGACGTCTTTTCTTAGACCGTCGTGAACGGATAAACAAGGCTCAACCGCATTCAGCCAGAGAAGATCTTGTCAGTGCTTGATTCCTTGTGCCTGGAGTGGTGACCTTACAGATGCGATCATCCGATAGTGATTAGCAGAAGTACATAAATGCGGAACGAACAAGCGAACTAGTAACAAGGACGCTACTAGGGGGAGGCCATCGCTATTAGGTTGGAGGCCATTACTACTAGTAACAAGTACGCTACTAGTAGCAAACGAAGAATAACGAAGAACGTTTTTTGAATCTCAGGTCTTCGGTCCTGGTGCGAAGTTCGTCATAGCTTGAATTCAGCCTTTTGGTGCCTCTGAGTTTGTTTGTCAAGTCAAGTTGATTAAAACAGGAACAAGGTAACATCGATCAGATTTGTCGGGTTTCCATCCACAATCACATTCTTTGAGCACATTCTCCGCACAGCAATGTTGTTGAAGGCGTTTGATGCAACGGGCTTGGACATACCTCCCTCCCTGCAAAGTTCTGCTTGGCTCTGTCACTCAGAACTCAAGCTATATGCCATGCTGCAGATTCGCCAAAGGAGGCATTCCACCTGGTGCTCAGGCTTGGATTGCCTCCACCAGTCTATGGTGGTGCTCACATGGGCCCCACATCCTCAACTGGTAGTCACGATCTGAAGGGTTGTCATGTTATACATATCCAGTACATGGTGGACATGCTAAGAAGTCAGATCTTACGAAGCCACTCTGCAGCAAGTTTCGCACCAAGGCGCAGTATGCTTTGGGAATTTGCTTCTCTTGTTTGGGCAATCTTGATTTGAGCACCATGCCCAGCTAACTTCTTTTTGACTATCTTTTTCTTTCAAGTCATAGCGCGTCATCTCGAGTGCCCAACCCGCCCAGCTCTAAGGGCTCTCCTGCTAGTCTCGGGTGATCTTGAAGTGGAATCAACGTTGCTGCTGGGTCCTCAAGCGCAGAAGCCTCTTGATGCCCTTCTTAGGCCCTTCTTGTAGGTTTCCTTCAGGGCACCCTTCCAATGCGCTTGACGCATGCCAGCTGCGATGCTTCTTGATCTTGATGTTTTAAAAACAGGGACAAGCCTCGCTAGGCTTCAAGGACTTTCCCAACTTGACGCGCCATTGCTCACCCCAGATCATTCACATGCAGGCCTCCTTCAACCCTGACAGCATAAGTAGGCTCAGAGTCTTCGATCTGCAAGGGACTTTTTGCTTTTGCATTATTTGCGTTCTTGATTCACTGTCTTGCTTCTGCAGGGCCGCCTTTGCCTGCGAGGCCCACGTCTAGTCCAAGGTTATTTGCTGCTGTGCTTTCAATAATATATAATTTCCCGCGTGGTATACCATCATATACCATCCTACTAGTCGTACCATTGTGTTCAGGTTCCAGATCTTTTCACCAACTTTCCATACTCCCTGTCAGCAATTGTCTATGTTGCCAGATTGTGAATCTAGGAAAGGACAACAGAACATGGTATGGTGTTTGGGCTGCTTAGCTTGTTTTTGTCCGAAAATGATGCCTTGTTTTTGTCTTTGTCTCTCTCTCTCTCTCTTTTTTGTTTTTGTCGCTCTCAAACATGGAGGACGACCGCTAGTTCTTGTTCATCGGTTCACGGGTTCTTCATGGAATTCTACACTGTTTCCGTTTGGTGGGTTCTGATGTCCCCATGTCTAAAACGATGTAAGTCTGCTGGGGGCTGTCGGAGACTGTGAAGTAGTTCGGACCGAAAGGTCTTCCGCACATCCTGGAGCTTTTCTGCCAACAATGGGCTATGCCTGCTCTGATTTGGCTCTGGCTGGAGCGGACACAGCGTGTTTAGGCTCCGGTGTTCGTGTTTGCGCTACAAACAAGCACAAGCATGCAATGCTCGTTCTTGCTCCATGATCGCTTTCCGCTGTGCAGGCGTATTGTTGCTTGTCCGTGGAATTTCTCGTCTTGGCAGCCCCTCCAGTTTACTCGGAACCGGCAGATCTGGGTCCGCTTCCAAGACTACACGCAAAAGCTTGAGATTGTTCCTTAATGTTTCAGGACAAGAATGACTGAATCATGGCTTGATGACATATGTCTTGCCGGGCCTCATCTCATTTTGACCTTGCATCCTTCATGCCTCACGTCTCTCAGGTCAAGCATTCTGGCCTTGGACTTTGGACATTTGGAGTTCTCCATGTTGTTGCATGGTTTTTCTCGTCAGCTCCTCAGATGGTGCGAGGGTTGGTTTGCTTTCAGATATCTCTTCCCATTTAGAGAGAACACGGCACTAGTACACTGAGTACACCGGGCTCATAGCACTCCACATCTCGATGACTCTTCACTCAGGCGTCGGCGCACTGCTGCCGGCCTTGGGTTTTACAAACTCTGAGCTTTCAGCGCTGTTACATTCGGTCCAATGCTGTATCCCCAGAGTGCTTTTTATTGTGTGTTTTTTCTTTAAATTTTAATGGATATATTATATATATAAGAGTTATATATGTATACATCATGGAGAGTCATCGAAACTAAACTGCACCAAGGTTGTGGTTTCTCAATGCTGATGCTCAATTTTGCTGTATTGGGGCCATCTCTTGCATTGCGAAGAGCTTCACTCAGATGTGCTCACAAGAGCACGCCATTTCCTGTTTTGAGTTTTGCTGCAGCTGCACTTCTTACATTACGCACACTCTAAGAAAAAGAAAAGAAACCGACACTGTGTATATATGTAATGTCTTGTTTATTAGAAACACAGGTGCAGGTCAGAGAGATCAAAGCTTCGATGTGAAACCATAGCTGCGTTTCATGGAACTAGGTTTTGCTCACTCTGGCTCAAGTTCGTCGGCATCTGGCCAGGCTCTGTTTTTGTTAACCTTTTTAATTCTTGCTGCACTTCTGAATTACATGAACGTGCAAGGTCCACTTCACGTATACCAACACTTACGTCACCGCAGAAACCTCCACCACAAATCAGTTGCAGTTCTATGCGCGGGGCCAAGCTACCATTTTCAATGTTCAGACGAAGAGTTGGTTCATCCAGCTTTGCTCCCCCAGTATTCCACGAGGTCAACAATCAGCGTTCCCTCACCTTGATTCAGAAGCCCACCGGTGCGAGTACCGGAAATGTTGGTGGTGCTCTTCATGGTCTTTGGTTCTTGGCTTAAGAAAGTGGGTAGTGTGGTGTTTCTATTTAGTAAGCAAGAGCTTTGCTGAGGTATGCTGACCACATGCTTCACATTTCTGACCGGCGTCTCAAGAAGAGCATCAGCTCTCTTGCAATTTGGCGTGGAATATAAAGCTTGGTTTGCCGCATTGCGACAAGCCAGAGCAGGGAAGCGTTCCTGCAGGCAGACGACTTGGACAAGAGAGGCCAGGCCGCAGGCTCGGAAGGGATTGGTAGCGATCTAGTAGCTTCTTGTTACTAGTAGTATGGCCAGGAGCCCCTAGTAGCGTCCTTGCTCCTAGTAGCGATCCCCTTTGTTACTAGTAGCTTCTTGTTACTAGTATGGCCAGAGCTACACACGGTGGCGTGACACTTGCACACCTGAGATGAATTTGCCACGCTCTGGGACAGCTTGCATCGCTGTGCAGCTGAGCTGGTACAGAATATTTTGAACCACATCCAGGTAGCACCAGAGGAGCTCTTCAAGAGTTCACTCTGGAGAGGGTCCATTTGAAGCACTTGGATCACTTCGTGCCCTGTGATTTGTTGCCATCAAGGTCATTCGTCCTTTCCTTTATGATTGTTAGCAGGTTGTATTTTGTCCCGGTAACCATGTTCACTACTGTCACGCGCTCTGAGCGTTCAACATGTCTAGATGCCTTGCAAATGCTTTGTACGCAGTTTCTGAGTCGATATGGTCACCACTTCCGTCACACGTTGGCTCACCTGCGCTTGTAATCCATAAAACGAGTGACGTACATCCTAGCTGAAGCCTCTCAGCCGCCATTGGGCAGATGGGAATTTTCTTTATTCCACGCTCATTGCGCTGAAGACCACGGGGATTTTGACACCAAACCACTAAAGTTGGTGACATTGGGGGCCAATGTACCTTGTAGGTATTGTTGTCTTCAAGTCGTCCCTTGCAATCTTTCCGTGACCGGCACGAGCCAGCACTGTATCACGAGCATTTGTCTGCCTTCAGTCGTCAGCATACCTTCCCAAGGATATGTTTTCTTTGTTCCTCTTTTGAAAGAATCCAGACTGGGGTTGTTGATTTCTGATCCCGGATTGCTGTTTTCCTTCGCGGGCTTTGCCCTTTCCCATAATTCAGTTTTCTGTTCCCGGGTTGCTTTTATTTGCTTTTGTTTGTCTCACAGATTGTTGTATTGTCTTATGTGTGAGTTTTTTTGTGTGTACGTGTGTGCTTATACGTGTGCTCATGTGTGCGCTGGCATATGCATGCTCAGTTTCTTGTGCTGTCACGTGCGTGATGGCGTATGTGTTCTCTCGGATGTGAGCTGCGGTTGGTGTCCTCTTCAGTTTTGCCGCGCGATCCTCCAAGTCGACACCTGTGCTAACATCCCCCTCCGGGGTTGGCCATCCCAGTTTGGACCAACCGACGCCGACGGGGGGGGCAGTTTCCCTAGTAAGTAGCGTCCTTGCTCCTAGTAGCGATGCCCTTTGCTCCTAGTAGCTTCTTGCTCCTAGTAGTAGCGTTCTTGCTTTTCAGTCCCCTGCTCTCTCGGTGACGAACCATTGATCTCTTGGTCTCTGCCCCATTTTGGGTTTAGACAACCCAAGGGGGACTCTGGAAAGAAACAAACAAACACAATTAAGACATTCTATATAAATTTAACATATCATTGTGAATCCTAATTGTACGTGGTTCTAGTATATTCTAGTGTTGTATATATACTATGGTTGACAAACTCTTGCAGAAAATGGAAGCGCAAAGGAGCGTGAAGGGTCTGATTGGAAATATTATGTGAGGGTTCTATGACCAAACACCCAGCTTGCAAGTATATAGCTTTTCCCCACAAAAACTGTAGTAGCTCACATTCTTTTCTTCAAACTTAAGACGAATGTAGCTTACATTTTGAGAGGTTAAGGATCAAATAATTAGGGTTTCGTTTCGGGAAGGGCTTTTGTTGCGAGGCATGTTGCTCGTGTTACCCATATCCGGCCCTTTGTCCCCATTTTTTGTCCGCTTTGCGTCGTCTGGAGGCTGTTCGTCAGAAGATGTTTAGGTGCTGGTCGTTTTCTAATCGTCCTGTCCTTGAGGCTTGGATCACACATCATGCCATCTTCGTCCGATGTAACGCGAGCTGAGCTGATGTTCAGAGGCCCTCGTTAACCTGTTTCGACCCCATCAAATGGCATTTTTTCACAAAAATGGTGCCCACTTGGAAAGGCGAATTCATAATTCATTACTCCGTGTGACAGACAGACTGTCATGGCACAGTCGTCTCCACCATTGCAATATGACAAAGGTTCGACCGACGTTGGATCGCACGTGTTACCAAAATTGTTCCCAGGATGAGTAGTACAGTACACTAAGATGTCGCACGTGTGTGCTCGTGCTTTTTTTCGCTCACGCATGACAAAGTGAGCGATCATTGCAGAACGCCCTGCACTACTTTGCAGAAGGAAATTAATTAAAGGAACAAAAGGAGGGAAAGGAAGGAAGGAAAGGAAGGGAAGGCAGGCAGGAAAGAAAACAAAGCAATTAGGAAATGGTATTGAAAGCAAAGAAGTAAGGACTGTGACAAAAGAAGGAATTTGTGAAGATAGACATGGCACCAAATTGCTGACCCTCCCTACCATGCAGAAAACCGCAGGGATTCGACAAGGTTCTGGCAGAGGAGCAGTGCGGCTCTCATGTTCAGCTTCAAGCGGTTCAAGTAAACGCTGTGTCATGATGAAAAGTAATGCGAGCATACACTGATTGTGATATATTGATTGCAAGCTGCATTCTCGTAGACGGTCAAGGCTTGGCTTCTCCGGCAGCTGCGGCCTGTGTCATACTATTTCAAGCTTGCAGCTTAACCAAGACAAAGCACAAAGGGAAGGCCGACAAACAAAACTCCAATTAGACAGAGTGCAGCTGAGGCGGGATGTGGAAGCCAAACATCAGCGCTTCGGCTTTATTGCAGACGAGATTGCTGTGACCTTGCCAGAGGCTACCAGATGCTTCGTGCATTAGAATTACAGAATTATCAACCAGCTTCCTTTGTTGCACTTCAGCGTAGAGATGAGATTTGATAGCTCCTCCAGTCTTGTCCCAGAAAATTTGGGGTGGTGGTGAGAGTAGGCGAGAGGGGTCGCCTCCTCTGCGATTCAATCAATTGCGATGCAAAGTGAGGAGCTCTCGTCCATGCTGCCCATCACTTTGCCCTGCTAGGTTGTTCAGGAATCCAGTGATGAGAAGAAGATCAAGGGAATTGCATACCAGGCACGCATGACAAATTGGGCCAAAGAGCTTTATGCCTCTTCTGTGTTGCTCACAGCCTGCACAATGTTCTGCGTTCAAGGATCTGATTGCCGTCATGGTGGTGAGTGTTCAGCCAGGAGCCTGTGCAACTCGTGCGTTTTTGACCAACGCCGCGATGCGGTTTTGAGCACAGCCTTGAAGAGGACCTCCCTCTTTAGGGCTCTAGGATCTTAGGCCTAGGTCATGCTTGTGCAATCTTAAGCAACGTGCCAGATGCCTTTCGTGTATTTTCTGCAATTGTCAGCTCATAGACCTGCAGCACAAGCAACAGCACGGAACAAAGTCTTGAAGTCTTGCCTGCAAGGTCTTTGAACAGTCGCTTCGATGAGGTGGAAGGGCTTGCTGCAGCATTGATGTCACGGCAGCTTGGCAATGTTGATGTGTGCCACGCCTCATCTCGGCTGATCATTGGTCTTTGACTGGAGGCTGGTGGCCTTGGAAGAAAATGTCAAAATGAAGAAGCTCCAGGTCGGACGACAGTTTCCGTTCGGTTATATAACAAGCAGCATGCTCTGACTATGCAGATGCATCATATGAATCACATATACAAAAAAATATATAGTATATATATATATATTTTTTTTTATCGGACCTTTTCTCAGATCAGGTGCTCTGCGGCCCTTTTGGCCTGAAACACTAGTGGGAGCTGACGTCGCTCGTCAGCCTTTGCACATGGCCGCTGCAATTGTTTGCTAGCCTTCCAGTCTTTTGCGGATGGGATGGCGCACGCTTTGCAGATCTCACACCAGATCTTGTTTCCTCTTCTTTGCATCTGGTGGGTTGGGTTTCCAGTCCATGTCGCTGGAGGCTCCCACTTTCCACTCCAGCACTGGCTCTGATGGAGCTGCTCGATCTTCTCCCGGGCGGAGCTCCGCAAGGTGCGCATGCCACATTTGGTGCACACCAAGTAGTTCGTCTGGAACTGGAGCTCGTGCCCTTGAGGTTCTGGATTGTCGATGAGCCGCTGGATGAAGTTCTGCTTGGATTCGATCTGTGGCTCTCCACCCTTCACCGGTAGGCTTTGAGCAAGCTCACATTTCTCATCTTTGGCATTGCGGAGCTGTTGCAGCGTCAAGTGTTGGTGAATATGGTGAATCCGGCACTGGCATTGGTTGCACTGAAGTCAACCACCTTTTGGTTTCCGTTGATGCCCTCCTTCCTTGCCAGTGACGCTGATCTCGAGGAAGAGGGCCTTTTTCTCATCTCTGGTTTTTTGCCTTTTCTCTTTGCCCATGGCCTTCTGCTCGTGGATGAAGTGGTCCGGGGTGTCCAAAAGATACTTGATCCGTTGCACCGCCAATGGGGCCACTCTGTTGTACTTTCTGTCCTGCTCTCTGAGCTCCCTTTCTTGGTCAAGGGGTCTTCTGGAGATTGCCACTTCCATTGCCGCCTTGTTGGCATCTTTGTATCTGGTGCGAAGGGACAGGCCGGTGGTAGGCATGACCCTCAGCTGAGCTTTGGTGATGCTGAGAGCTTTGACCCTTTGACGTTGGTCCCAAGTCACCAAAGAGGAGAGGTCGAAGAACTGATCCGGGTGTTTGCCCATCACCAGGCTTCCCAAGCTTTCACAGAAAGCACATGGACCCTCACTGGAACACTCAGGTCCACGTAGTGGGCAATCATCCTCATGCCATAGTACCAAGCCCGGCACTGCGTCTGCCGGCCAGGAAGCACGGTTGTCACTGCACCCATTCTGAACATCTCTCCAGCAAAAATGGTGTGGTGAACAATCGTGACAATGTAGTGCCTCACCCTGGAGTCCCCACTTGTAGTGGCTATGCCAATGGTCATGGTTTGATGACCTGTGAGCTGTATGGCATCAAGTTCGGTCATGGAGCCCCACGCTTGGATGGCCGCGCCACCAGTGGAGATCTTGATCACTGGCAGTTGTAAAAGACCTTGGGCCCAGAACTCCAGGTTGATGCCACGCTCAAGTTCTTGCTTGTCCTCCTCCTCCTCCTCCTCCAGCGGGGTGCAGTTCTTGTTCGTCTGTCTGCAGAGCCAAAGCACATGGATGGCTGTTGCCGGCTGATTGCAATGAGGGCACATCATGTGTCCTTGTTCACTTCCTTCAGACATCTTGGTGAAGATTGCTTCCTGGTGCCATGTCTGAAGGGCCGTCTTTGTACGAGGATTGGCTTGGCTAGCCATTCTTTTCCATGGCGCCCAGTCTAGAGGTTGTTGAACCTCTTGTAGCATGGTCCTCTTCTGGATGTTGCAAATGCGCTCCCTCACCTGGGCCCGGTTGAGCTCCTCCTTGATGAAGAACCACGAGGCGTGCGTGTTCAGCTCATAGTCTTCTGCACCATTGGAACCTGGCTTCGTCCACCTGTCATAGTGGGTGGTGTCCCAGCCTCTGTCCTGCAGGTAGCAAATGAGAGCCGCAGATGGTCCTCTGACAACCTGGCATGCGTGTTTTGCCTCCAGCTCCAGCTCCTCCAGCTCCAGCTCCTCCAGCTCCAGCTCCAGCACCAGCTCCAGCTCCAGCTCCAGCTCCTCCAGCAGCTCCAGCTCCTCCAGCAGCTCCAGCTCCTCCAGCAGCTCCAGCAGCTCCAGCATCTCAGCAGTCCGCGCTAGACACCTCTCACATTTTTTGCAGTTCACACGCCTTCATGTTTAACATCCCTGTGGTTTGAGTGTGGTTGAAGTTTAAAGGAGATTTAGAAGCGGGCCCCCATGGAATTGTGACGAGTGCACCATTTTGGGAAAATACATGTTGGAAACCAACCTACATTGGGTTGAATTGGTAGTGCATAAAATCGAATTGCCTAACTTCAGTCTCATCAAGTCCATTGCGCTTCTTTTTTGCTACTTTATGGTGTCAAAGAACAACAGAATCTTGGCAAAGCAGAACATGTCCTTGTGTTGCTTGAGACTTCCACCGCTGCAGTCAAAGTGGCCAGAGCACCCAACCTCATGGTTGGTGAAACTAAGTGATTCTACACAAAACCTTGGATCTTGGGGATCTTGGGGATCTTGCTTTGCAGGATTGGCAAACTGTGATGAATCGACTTGAGAATCTAGAGGCACGTTGTTGAATGACTTGGCTTTGGAGATGTTTGCTCCTTGATGTTTGTGGCGGTAGGCTCGCCTCACCAAGCTTGAGATGAAAGGTGGGGGATTCTGTCTTTGTACGAACTTCCTCAATGAAACATACGCAAGAGTTCCAACTGTATGCGGGTTTGTCTGGGCCAGGTTTGCTGTAGAAGATTCCCACACGTGATGCTTTCCAAGGCGCAGCAGTAGGGAGAAATTTGTTATTCGTGGAACGCCTTTCGTGGCGCACCGCAGGGGAGAGCCGAGACAACTCCAAGCTCCAAGGAGTCCGAGCTTAAGGAACTTCAGGAGTCCCAACTTATGTCATTTGCTCTGCCGCCTCTTTTACCAGGTTTTACCCTGTGGTTCCATGTTCCATGTCAGGCTACTCTTGGAGCATCGCTTTTCAGAGGCAAATTGGGAGATTGGGGAACGGGAGGGACGCTTGAGGATTGACAGGATCCAAAAAGAGAACTCACTGTGAGCCACTCAAGTTGCAGGGTCAAACTGGGGGAGCTGCCATGCCAACTCTTTGACAGAGCCGATTGTCTTTCTCGAAGAATGACTCAACGACGACCTCCTTGACGAGGCAAGGCTTTGAGTTTTTGTGTCTTTCGAATTTTTGAGCATAAAAAGAGAAACAAGTGCATCGCTACTGGGAACAAGTGCCTTACTAGTAGTAACAATGTTTGCTAGTAGAAACAATAAGAAACTATAGACTTTAATTAGAATTAATTTTCTAATTAAGTGGAATTAAAAGCAAAGGATTCTACCATCTAGAATGCATCTGAAAGGCCTTTGGTATCCTTTTGGTCTTTCTGGTCATGGAATGCCCCACCCCTTGCCTCTATTCACAAGAACACAACTTCTGACAGGTTTGGGATGCGTAGGGATTTGTTCTCCTTGCCATCCTTTGCCAGGATATTCCGTCGCAGAGCTGGGATGCGTCGGACCTGCAGTTCGTCTATGGCCAAGCCAGCTGATCCAGCTGCAGCTGCCCCAACAGTGTGATGAAGGCATGATGGACAACTGTCCTCCGAGTGCAGCTTCTGTCCCACGAACTCTGGAGGACTATGGAGAGAAACATCCAGATCGCCAATCACAAGATCGAGAACGGAGACCAACTTGGACAATGACTTTGCCTTTCGAGCGGCAACACAAGAATCGCTTCCCGGAAAAGTCCGGCTGCTCTGTACCTATGCAGGACCCAAATGCGCACGTAGCTAATTGCACCCAGGGATGAATGCTCCTTTGGCTTCAGCTTTGAGCCTTTGCTTTGTGCAGGTCAAGTCACCAGCGCAATCAGTGACAAGGCACTGGGCATAGGCGCTGGTCTCCGGGAAAACTGCGTATTTTTCAAGTAACAGGAATACCCTTGTACCATTTTGTACCAAAGGTCTTTTGCCATGACATCCTAGACACACACACATGCATTGTTGGCATTTATATGCATTTATGGACCGTAGACGTGTTTCGACTGGACAAGCTGGACGGCATGCAACATTGTATGATATTGATATTGATATTGATTCGTTTTACATGGCTTTCCATGCATGAGTGCACTTGTTTACCTGCCGGGAATTTCAAGGACCTTGTGCCAGTATGGTCTTGGCTCCATGAATCTTCTCTTTGACTGGTTGGCTCAAGAGAAGAGGCAGGTAAGAGGAGATGGACAGTGAGGGAACTGGGAGAACCTTAGCTGCTCAACATGCCCATCGCATTTTAGGAGAAGCTGGGTGCTCGCAATTCCCAGAAGATGCACCCGCAGATTGGGTCGGAGTTCAGCGTGGGCGGGATTTGTTTGTGCCTGGTTGGGGTGGCTTCGACATAGCTGCAGCGCTTGATGCTAGTGGCGGGGCTAGCGCCTCGATTCCCAGTGTCAGCGAGCTGCGGAGCATCGGATACCTGATGAAGTATTTCCCAGACCTTCAAGACCAGATGATCCGTCACAAAATCCAACAGTTGCTGCGAACACCCGAAACTTTGCTTGCACGGTATATTGTCCAACACCATGTCTTCTGGGCAGATGCTCGGAATGGAAACAGACTGGATGAAGTCGAATCGCACTGGCAGGATACCAATGTCGCCAATCCCTCCAGAGCCCTCAAAGAAGAACCAAAGAAGCTACTTAATCGCCTGGTCCGTGACCGTGCCATTGCCAGTCACCCTTTAATTGAATTTGCACATTTGGTTGGACAGCCAACTGTATTCTTTGATGACAGTTTTTTCGCTTCAACTCTTGAATCCTCCTTCGAGTTGTCAGTTCTTGAGGAGTCTCACAGTGTTTTGCGTGCAGCTCAAGAACTCAACAATTGTGCTGCAGACTACAGTCGAAATGTCCGACAGAAGCGTTGTGCCCTTGTTGTTCTTCGCTCACGCAAGAAGCTCCTCGCTATGGGCGAGTGGGATTTGCATGATCGACGCTGGTGTCAAATCTCGGAGCACAGTGACGAGCCAGTCCGTGATGAATGGTTGAAGATGTACAAGCAACTGGAGACAGACGATTTCTTTCCAATTCGAGCGGTACTCCCCCTCCCAGATTTGGAGACATCAACAGGTTTGTTACAGGAGGTAAAGGAGGATGTCGTCTCGATTTTCAGTGTTGAAGGGTCGACATCCTTGGATCGCCTGTGTAGCGCTTCAATTTTGGGCATAGAACCCTGTATGGGATGGCCATGTTTGCTTGATGGATTGGAGGCATTCCATCCAGAGGCTTCTTCAGCACTTTTGCTCTGGAGCCTTGCAGCAGCAGCGAGCAGTGTTCATTCTGCAGACTGCGAGTTGGAGATCGTCATTGAGAAGCTTCTTTGCAAGAGAGCAGACCCGGACACAATGACAGACCGGGGTTGGAGCTCATTGATGTTCGCAGTGATGGTACCTGATCCTAGTGCTATTGTGGCCAGGCTATTGAAGGCAGCGGCAGATGTAGATGCTCGAGCTGCTCAAAGCGGACGCACTGCCCTGATGCTGGCTTGCAGCATTCAGAACTTTAGTCTTGTTTGTAGACTGGTGACCTTTGCAGCATCTCTGGACGTTGCTGCACGTATTGATGGCCGTACAGCAGTAATCCAGGCTGTTGGGCGCTAAGTTGACTCAAACGATTGTACTACTCAAAGATGATCCGAAAGGCCCAGATCTTTTGAGTTTTGATGCTTTGTTTTGATAGCATGCAGCCATGGCCAGACCTCAGGATTGTATCCAGGCATCTAATTACAGTAGAAGGTGCATCAAGACCATATTAGCTTCTAGTCCCCTAGGCAAGTGCAGCGAAAGTCAAGAGTGGAGCAGGGATAACGTGGGAGTTCATTCATGTTTGAACAGTATTTGCTTGCTCCTACACAATCTTCTGCTACACAGTGCAGGTTTGGCAACTCGGCGAGACAAATGATTAACTCATACTCGGATATGAGACCATACCCACAACCAACACCTCATGGCGAATCGAACTGCACGGATTCACTTATTTGCACACCACTATCATGCACACGGGTAGTAGAGGGGGACATTATCAACATAGAGCAGACCTGCCATGCTGCCACTGATTCAATGCTGTGCCCAAGCAGGCGCTTTTGCATGTTGGCTGTAGTGTGTGCTGTGCGAAGCGGGTGAGTGAAGATGCAATGGTTAGCTGGAAATGGGTCAGCCTTGTACTTATGCTGGTGCAGCTGGGCAGCATTATCTGAACTTACATAGTATATAATAGTATGTACAGTAATAGTAACCGTAACCAAATAGGAATGGCCTCCAACCTAATAGCAATGGCCTCCAACCCAATAAGGATGGCCTCCAATCTAATAGGGATGGCCTCCAGGTTACTTATGCTTTCAACTTGTGATTTTTTTGAATCATTCAAGGCAGAATGCTATTACGCCAATCGTCTTTCGCTATGCTTGCAGCCTCAGAACATGCAAATGCAATCGTGCAATTACACAAGGTGAACCTGAGTTTAAGTTTGGTGTTGCCTACTCTGGCAGGCTACAACTGGTGCGAAAGCACAGGACCGCTTTAGCACATCTACATCCATTGGCTGTCAGGACGGCATGTTTTGCTTTCAACTTCAACTCTGCAGTGGTGAATTGAAGCATGAACGCAGAGAGCAGATGTGTGTAGGCCGGGGTGAGCACTACTTTCAGTGGATGAGCAGATGTGATTTTTACTTATCAATTTCTAGTTGTAGCCCATGTGGTTTGTTTCTGAAACTCTTGGGATCCGAGGAGGCTTTAAAGCTGCTGATGTCCTTTGGCTTGGCAGCTGTGGAGTTTGGCAGTGCTTCAGCTGCGCTGGCAGCGATATGTGCTGTGAAGCCAGGCGACTCTGCGAGGCTTGCAATTCCAGCGATTCTCTTCGTTCTTCAAAATGCAGTCCACTTCTCAGGAAGAACACTTAAGTTGTGATTGTGGCTCTGAATCAAAGCTGACTCAAGCTTGAAGGCAAAACCTAGCAACGCGCAGCAAACACAAGTCATTGTATATAGATAGATAATCAACATTTAATAGGGAGGCCCCTACAACAGAATTGCGCGGCTTAGGCGATGCAGCTTGCAACAGTGCATTTGCCAGCGGCACTTTTTCAAGTCACGTGGCAAGGGAAGACGTCGCTTGGAACAGACTGAGAATGCCAAATTTAGTTTGCTGTTGTGCTTTCAAATCGAACTATCCTGTTGTTCTTGGCTACCGAATAGCCAAACAGCATAGCTTACTAAGATGCCAGCTTCTTTCAAGTTGTGGCAGCTGTTGAAGTACTACTATGACCTGATCCTTTGTCATGAGCAGAACACGCGGTACACAGCATGCTTGCTCTCATCACCACCAAGCCAAACTTGTACTGGACGTACCAAGTGGCGACAATCAATTGAAAGTTTAACGCACATCTTATTTGTCCAAGCTGATGCAGACACTTGTGCTTGCTTGATCGCTTAATAGCCTAGCGGAGAACCGAATCTTTCCAACCAGGATAAGCCAGGGATGCGCATGGAGTCTCAAGAAGCTCACCCGCATGCAAAGGCTCGTGATGGCTGGCCTTTCGGTACTGCTCTTGGACAAGAGGCTTGTGAGATCTGCGTGGCTTGCTATTGCTTTCATGGCAGCACCTTGGACTGAGATTCAGCTGATGGATGTTCACTGATTCTTAGTTCCTGAACGTCTTGCAGAGGTTGTTGAGATCTCAGGTTGGAATCGCAGTGGTCCAACTCTCACAAAGCAAGGACTTTTGCTTCCACAGCTTCAGTACAGTACATGTTTTTGATCCTGGTACCCCAAATGTTTACATCGTGAGGAAGGCAAGCAGGCTCTCATGGCAAATGCTTCTGAGCAACAGCCTGCTTTAGGCGAAAGTGCACTACGCAAGGTTTTGAACGTTTTGTGCGCAAAGGCTTCTGTACATGATTCGATCACTTTCAGGTTTGTATTTTATATTCCCAATTGGTGGACCCTGGGCAGTGCAGGCCTCTTCTTTGTGCTTGGTGGCTGCCTTTGCTCGGGCTTCGCAGTACCTTCACTGCTCAAAGAGTGCCAACCAAAGTCTCAAGATTTGACCTGCTGGCGGGTGCCAACTCAGGCCGTATACTTGGAGAAGCTCGTAAAGCAGAAGGAAAAAACAGAGCGGACTTCTATGTGGATCCAAAATATGCAACTGGCTGCCTGGCAAAATGCACCCGCTTTTGCATGCGAATTACCTATGTAGAGGCATTTTACAAGCAGCCCTTGAAGCCAGGCATTCTATTCACTGTTGTTGACCTCTCTTACGTCTACGATGAACTCCGTGGCGGAGCACACTGGATTCTTTCGGGGCTTCTCTTTCAGCGCCGCTTTGAGCGTTGCGAAACGCATTTTACGCAAAGATCATGTGCGCAAACCTCCCCTTCTCTATCTCCACGTTCTCGCCCTTTAGTTCTATTTCTTTCAACGCCATGAGGTATGGATCATGATCCTTAACAATGCCATAGGAGGCTTGCTTGTGGCCTTAGTCATCAAGCATGCAGACAATATTCTCCGTGGTTTTGCAACAGCACTTGTCACTTGCCGTCAAGACTAGGGCAGTATTTTGCCGCGATCAGACTTTCACATTAGTGCGATTGCTGGCATTTTGAGGCAACAGTTCTTACAACGACGCTTGTCAGAAGACTTTTGCATTTGCTGTCAAGGTTAGTTATTATTGGCTTTCGGAGCGAAGTTGGCTTGCGAAGCCAAGGATTGGATCGGTCGTTTGCTTCGGCTTTGAGATCCATGCAAGTTTCTTTATTGGTAGCATTTTGGTTGTGGGGAGCTCTCTTCTTTATGGAGGCAGAAGGAACAAAGTCCTATTCCGCAACTCTCCATTCTTCTGAAACTTTTCTTCCGCAACTATTTGGTACTCTTCCGCAACTACCTTCAGAAACTATTTTGGGATCTTCAGGAACTATTTTGCGATCTTCAGAAACTATTTCGCGATCTTCAGAAACTATTTCGCGATCTTCAGAAACTATTTCGCGATCTTCAGAAACTATTTTGCGATTTTCAGGAACTATTCTGCGATCTTCAGAGACTATTCCGCGATCTTCAGAAAGCTAACATTTAGACAGTATTCCTCAGATCCTTTACAATGTTGCAACCAAGTTGCATGAAGGAGCACTGGGTGGGTGGGGGTGGGTGGGGGGGTAGGTGGGTGGGATATTGACGTACCTTGTGACGGCTACGGTATTTACATGCTTGTTTTGCGATCTGCAGAAAGATTTCCGTGCAGGTTTGATGTTGCTCTTCGACTCTTTGTAGTTTCCGAACATTAGTTTCTGAAGAACACCGTAGAGTTTCCGAAGAATAGTTTCCGAAGAAAACCTTAAAGTGTCTGAAGATCACTTTTGAGTTGCCGAAGATGAGCTTCCACTTAACAGTTTCCGAAGAAGACCGTAAAGTTTCCGAAGAAAACCGCATAGTTTCCGAAGATTAGTTTCCGAAGAAAGCCGTAAAGTTAGTTTCCGAAGAAAAACATAAAGTTTCCGAAGATCACCTTTTAGTTTCCGAATAAAACTTTGACCGAGGCAGAAGATTCCTGTGTTGTGGCGCGTTGTATGAGATGTGCGGGATCAATCTGTTTGTCGAATCCTTTCATGATTCCTCACCTACCTACCAGGTGAGGGTCTCTAGATATTATCAAAGGTGCTCCCTCTCCCTCTCCCTCTCCCTCTCCCTCTCCCGCTCCCCCTCGCCCTCTCCCCCTCTCCCTCTCCCTCTCCCTCTCCCTCTCCCTCTCCCTCTCCCTC